GAAGGATGCACCAAAGAAAAGTCTTCTTCTTCCTCATAAATATCATGAAAATTCACAACATCTCCTATGGGGAGTGATACAGAGTCCATAGGAGATGTTGTGAATTTTCATGATATTTATGAGGAAGAAGAATACTTTTCTTCTTCCTCATTAGCACTGTTCTCACCAATTTCTTCTTGGATGATGTTGTCATTCTCCACACAAAAAGGAATATCATCATCAAGAAGTGAATCAAAGAAATCCAAATCTGAAACCAAGTGAGAGGAGTAATCTTGCATGTGGAGTGAGACTTCTTCATTATTGACATCATCAACCTCGCCCCCACTCTCTTGGAGCGTGTAATCATCTTTAGCACTGTTCATTAGCACTGTTCTCACCCCCACTCTCTTGAATCACAACATCATTAGCACTGTTCTCACCAATTTCTTCTTGGATGATGTTGTCATTCTCCACCCAAAAAGGAATATCATCATCAAGAAGTGAATCAAAGAAATCCAAATCTGAAACCAAGTGAGAGGAGTAATCTTTCATGTGGAACGGGACTTCTTCATTATTGACATCATCTACCTCGCCCCCACTCTCTTGGAGCGTGTAATCATCTTTTCCCAACTCATCTTCAATGCCCAAACCTACCTCAGTAGCACCATTATCATGATCGATCTGTTTTATGCCTTCATCAGGTGTTGAGAGTAATGGTAAATCAAACGGCTAAGGAGTTTCTGTATTTTGAAAATCACAGTGATCTGTGACTTCATTAGTTACAGCTTGTACCGTTTGAAACTTTTTCCTGCATTCTTAAAAAAATAACTCGAGACTACTATCTTCTTGTTCAAGTTCAAACATAGGTGGGTTTTCAACAGCATCAGGAAGTGTATCATCCATCATACTCCCACCTTCGCAGTCTGGCTCACTCACATGATCATCCCTATTGGTCTTCTCAGGTTAGGCTTCTGTGTCGATAGGCTGGGATCTCTCGGACTCTTCAGATAGGCTGTTTGACAGCTGATCCAAATGATTTTGTATAGTCTGAAAACTTGACTGCATTAATTGTTGATTTGCCGCAGTCATTTGCATAAAGTTTTGGAGTGTTTCTTCCAGGCTAATTTGAGTTTGTTGCCATTCAGGTAACGTATGTTCCGCCTCCTCCAATTGATTATGTGGTTCATTACTCGGCAAGGATGTAGGAGTGGCTGAAAGATTTGTGTTTGTGAGTTGTGGGGAAGGCGAAGTGGGGTATGCAGTTGCCCAGTAAGGATGGCCATATGGAGGAATGGGGCAAAGACATAAATGGTGACCTCCTCCACAGAAGGAACAAATGCTATTTTTAGGAAAGCAATCATTCAATTCCTCGGGACTTTTATTTTTAACCAGATAATAAAGCATGATGCCCGGTCTTGCCCTAGGATATTGTGGATAAGGATAATGAGGGGAATGACATTGGGAATGTTGCGTATTTGGAGGAGGGTAAGAATAGGATGATGGAATATTTTGCGCTGTAGAAGAGTAATATTGGTGAGGTGTGTAAAATTGAGGAGGAGTGTAAGGAGGACATGGTGCAATTGGTGAATATTCCGTGGAGGTTTGAGGGTGAGGTGTTCCTCCATAAATAGAGCTCAAAGGTTCATCTCATCCACTTAGTGGCGCGGCCATATATGACTTTGGGGCTGGACTTGACAAAGAGATCAAATGGGGAGACCCACCTTGTCAATTTTCGCACAAATCATGGGTGTGGTTTGTCTCCCTCCATAAGTGAAATTCTACTCGACCAAATAATGTGAATAAGGTGTCCCTGGATAGCCTTTGAAGTCTAATTTCATTATTAAGTGGTTGCTGAGCAAGAAGTGAGAGTATTACCGACAATAATCGAGGTTGAGTGAAATGCTGTGTACAAACTCGAGCAGTGAGAGTGTTGGTATTGTTTTGTTCATATCTCGAGTTATACTAATCCAAATCAGGCATGCGAGGTACCTGAGGATAGCTCTCAAGATAAGGAATACGTCAATGTCTGGTGTGCAACAAACGGAGTAGTGGAAGGCTTCCAAATCATCCGCAGAAAACACAAACTCGCAGAAACGGATTTACTTCTCTAAAGTGAGTTTTAATCCCAAAACCTTTCTTTGCATTTTCCAAATGATATGAACGATTGGTGGAACTATTATAAACTATTCCAAGTGTATAATATGTCCTTATAAGGTTATTTTATTGATGTAAAAGTTAGGTACTAACCTAGAGGAAACCTTGGAAAAACTAGGAAACGAGTTCGCCGGAAAACACCCATTCTAGGGGCTGTTTTCGTATCAACGCTTAGGGGTTGAGCTAACACTTTGATGAGGCTGTTTAAAACTCATTTTAAAGCAAGGAATCAGTTCTTAATCCATCTTGACCGAAGCTTTGACCATTGGATCAAGAAGGAAAAGTTTAAAGCTCAATTAAGGTGAGGACCGACATCTAGTTGCTTACAACTTGTAGGTTGTGCATGAGATTACCTAAATGCCTAAATCATAATTTTTCATGGATTATGATGATTAAATATTGATGAAATATTGATATAGTTTCCAAAGAATGAAATTGGAAATGATTTGAGGTTGTATGAATAATATGAGATTAAATGAGTTATAAATGAACTATTTTGTGAAATAGGCATTTTACTCATGTATGAATTATGTGGATACATACATGAATATTTTTGTATTGAGATTGAATATGTAATTTGCTGCTACATAATTATAAATATGTAGAGAATTACAAAGTGAGAATATTTGTATGATAACAATAATCTTAATAGTATTGAAATACGGAGTACTAGTTAGTGATTATTCGAAATTGTTGATAGAATCAAACCTAGGGTTTGCACAGTATTGTGATGAACTTGATGGACTTCAAGTGTCATTTGTGTCTTGGTGTGAACTATGGTTAAGTTGGGGGCAGTCCATAGGATGTCCCAAGATAGCTTTATGTATGACAATTCTAGGCGTAACGAGTGCTTAGGAATTGGGGTCTATGCCAATGTAAGGAGATGCACTTGAGCCCGAGCTCTAAAATTGCATTGGGTAGACATAAGGTTTAGGTTCAGCCCATGTAAGGAGATGCACTTGAGCCCGAGCTCTAGACTTGCATGGGTGAACATGATGTCGGAAATTGATGATGTGATATAAGGTTTGGAACCTAGGGCCAAATCTATGCCAATATAAGGAGATGCACTCGAGCCCGAGCTCTAGAGTTGCATTGGGTACATATAATGTGGATGCATTAGGGTTGGACCCTATGTATGGTCCTGACTAGTGATCACGGGGTTTGGGTTATGTTTTGTGATAAACACGGGCCTACGGGTCGACTACTTGACTTTATATAAAGTAAGTATATTTTGAAAAGGGGTAACTTGGGGTTACATCCTAGATTATATTATCACCATATTTGAAGGTCTTGTGTTTGAAATACTTGTTGTATATCTATTAGATGCCATCCACACCAGTACTTTATAGCCCTATAGAGTACTGACCCCTTCGGGGGCGTCCCACCACCATTTCATGTTGAGGCTAGAGGTTGCATCATGTGCTCGTTGATTGAGTGATTCCTTGGAGAGAAGACTTGGTTCGTGCTTCCTCCATTCTGTTTGAAACATTAATAAATTTGCTCATCGATATTTTAATTAGAGCCTCCGTGCTCATGTTTGCCCTATGTGGCATTTGATTTCAAACTATGTTTCCACTGCGTATTGAATTGTTTATTATGTATGTTTATGGATGACTTATGTGTGAATGATATTCATGACACCTTGTATAATATGGATGTGGTTGACTATGGTTGATTCTTCGTGTTGTACGACGGGTTGTTGACGTGTCCGGGTAGGTCCGGGGCGTGACATGTTTTCCCTATAAAAAATGACACAGATCCTAACTGTGCCTCTACCATCGTATAAGTTATAGTTATAATTTATAACTATAATTACAATTATAATTATAGTTATAAATATTGTTGAGTTTAATCCAACTCGATATAGTAAATATATGTATAAATGTGTATGAACAAGCTCAGTTTTTACGTGGAAACCCGAAAGGGAGAATACCACGGGACTTTTTAGGCTAATGTCCAAGTCCTCTCTTTCTCATTAAGACTCTCCCCACCATTACAATGTACAAGCTCCCATTAATGGAGTATTGAGCTAGCTAGAGAGAAAATAAGAAAGAAGAAGCTAAAAGAGGGATCCTTTTACGGGAAACCTTCTAATTATAGGGAATAGGGGGAAAGGGGCTCTCTATCATAACGGGCCGAAATGGGCCCAAAAGCCGAAACAGGCCTGATAGGCTAAAAACAGGCCTCACTGATTGGGCTCCGTACTACGTAAGTCTTGGGCTCCTAAACAGTAATAGACCGGGATAATATATCCCAACAAATATAATTAGTGTAATAGGTATAATAATAATTATTATTATACCTATTATAATTTAAATTATAATTATGATGATGATTGTAATTATAATTTTGTTATAATTAAAATTATATTTAAATTAAAATTTATAATTATAATTATAATTATATTTTAGAAATATTCAAATCAGATCAGAAAGATTCAGAGCAGAAGAGTACAGATCATATCAGAAGGATTCAGATCAGATTAGAAATATTCAGATCAGGGGGCCGTTTGGAACCACTGGTTTTCGGCTTATCAGCCAACTTTTTCATCAAACACGTAATTGTTGCTTTTGCGCGTTGAATTGTGTAATAAGCAGAAAAAGTAAGGTTGAAGATACTTTTCTGGATGAAGTTACTGTAGATGATCATTTTAGCAATTTTGACATATAATTTTTTCTTGATTTTGTTAATAAAATATATTTAAAAAATATTTTTTCTTATATCAGAAGAATCAGCCAATATAGTCACTTCAGGCAGAATTTCATAAATTTCAGCAGAATCTACCAAATCAATCGATTTTCGTGCTACCAAACGGGTTACAAATCATGAGAAAGATTAGATAATTAGATGTATTTAAAAAATTAGATGTAGCAAACAGCTTCTTAATCTCCTCTCCACAACCAGTCGTCTGTGTTGGGAAGCCGAACGCAATATGGGGATTCTGTCATGGTTTAGGGGCGGCAATAAACAAGCTGTGGGGGGCAACAACCATGGGGATTCGACATCTCTACCTTCGAATTCCCAATCTTCTTCTGCTTCTTACCAGAAGCGGGAGGCACCCGGCACGAACGGGGCCGTGGAAGTTTGTAGACCCGTATCTCTGCCGGAGGTTACTGTTTTTGAGTTTGGTTCCGTGGCCACTTCTGCCGACAAGGTAACGATATCCGGTTACTGCCCCGTTTCCGATGAGCTGGAGCCCTGCCGTTGGGAGATTCTTCCGGCGAGTGCATCCGATGCGCCCCAGTTTCGCGTGGTATTTTGAGCTGTGGGAGACCCCAGCGAGTTCGCAAAATCTATCTCTAGTGTGCTGCAATTGGTTATGGATTGTGCTGTGAGTCTGGAGTATTTTCTTGATTTTTATTTAATTTGCAGTTCATGGTCAATGAAATGTATGTCTTCTTTATATTCTGGATTGCATTCTAGCTATGTGGGGTTTAACAACATACATAAACTGAAGGGATTTGGTTTAATGCTTATTCACATTAGGGTTGGTAATTGGTCTTGAAAATTATTGATGGATATCAATGAAGAAATCCGGGTTTGGATGTGCACTAATCATGAATTGGCAGATCTCTATAGAGTTTGAGGCTTTATGCTTCACTCAAACCACCCCGCTTGAGGCACCTCCCAAATGCCTATTTGGAACAATTGCCATTTCAAACTTGGGGTCATAGTCCTCTTTTATGCATGCATGTATTGCGCACCCCTGAGAAGATTACTTGTTCATATTCTTTTTTCTTCTCTAAACAACACCTATATGACTATCTCGTAGAACAACATCCCCCCAAACTGTATGCTAAATACATCTTCCGGACCCCCCCCCCCCCCCACAGATGTCGGCCTAAGCACTCTTGCGCCAGCTCTCTCAAACTCACCACAAACACTTGAAAGTATGTGGGGTTTCGAATGATATTTCTTTTGTAAGTTCTACTGAAAAACATTACTTCCATTACTGAACTGTTTATGCTGCTCTCTGCTATAAATTTTTAGAGCCCCTTTATTTTTTTGGGACGAACATGTATACATATAAATGCAACCAAAAAAGAATACCAAGTTTTAGAATGACATTCCCGAATGAGGATGTTACAGCACCATGACAAAAAGCACAAAGGCCATGAGACCACCAAAACAGAATGGTGACGGTACCACAAATCAAATTTAAAAAGGTAATCAATTTGTAAAGATGCATTGACAAACGTGAAATATTGACTGCTGCAATTAAAAAGGAACGGAGGAAGTACTTCCTAAAGGAAGGTCCAACGGAGCACGACAATCTTATCCACACTATCAGGGGGGCTAAAAGAGGTGAAGTTAAAATGACCCTAGTGAGATCAATATGGGTAGTGTAGGAAATAGTTTTAATATTTCAATCATTAATGTAATAGGTGGCCACATCAAAAGGGGGCTTATTGGGCCAATGAAATTTTCAGAGGGGCGAAGGAGATACCAAGGTACTCCGTACTATATTTTAACTTTTGTACCGTTTCTAAAAGCTCTTAGTTGATTGTTTAGCAAATTTTTTTAGAGTTGTTTTAAATTTTGAATCTAATTTCATAAGCTAGTTTGAGCAGTGTATAGAAAAAAGTTTGTAGCTTCGAACGTTAATATCACAATCTCGTATGTCACAAAATCTTATTTAACCAAATAAGACTATTGAATAGTCTGCATTTATCAAACAATTACAATCTTTCCATTTTAATAACTTTTCCCTTATTAAAAGGGAAAACTTGTCACTATGGGAAGTGTTACAAAGTAAAATTCTGCTAAATCCAAGATATCAGTGAGGTCTTTAGTAATCACACCACCACCAAAAGATATTTGATTTTTCATGGTTGATTGAGTGGTTTAAGACTTCACTAAATTCTTTAAGACCACAATTTGAATGGATTTGTAAACTTCCTTGGAGAAAAGCATAAGTTCGTCAATAGAGGCTGCATAGGCAAGGGAAGGGGGTGATCCCTAAATATCAATAGAGAGGGTGAAAATTGAATTGATTTGCTTCGTCATAATGGTCACAAGTGTAGAACAAATACTCCATGCACTAGACAAATAACAACAGGACATGGGTCCCGTTGACGGAGAGCCCTGTTTCATTCAAAAAATTGTGCAAAATCCCATTAAATAACATAAAGTAGGAGGATGTTGAGACATACTACATGATCAACGCAATGAATAGGAGTGGAAACCCCATGGCTCGATGGGGCACCAGAGCAATAAAACAGATAGCAAAAGACCCTTAAAGACGGGTCAAGACAGTTCCCACTATTGATCGCCACTGGATCAATGTAATTACAATTCAAGAACTCAAACACAACCTGGGGTAGAGGTGGGAAGCGTGTTGTTGAAGTATGGATGTTTTTACTTGGACGGTTTTTAGTCCTAGACCAGACCAGCTTACCAGATTAGACCAGACTTGGATAGTTATAAAATATAGAGAGATTAGACATTACCAGATCAGATCAGACCAGACCAGCAAATTGCAGTCCAAGTAAAAACATATGTCTACTTGTCTCACACTAGTAAAATATGAAGTAGTAAAATGTCATATTAAGATATTGAGCTACTTGTCATGTCAGGTTAACCTTTGAGGATGAACCTCATAGTCTTAACGTGGTATCAAATTCAAATTGATTCATAACGACGTCACAATCCGTACAATGTGTTTGGTGTTGAGGATTGGTGTTGAAGCATGTCCTACACTTGTAAAATATGAAGTACTAAAGTGCTTGATAGAGTATACGGGCCTAAACCCCTCGGTTTGGCCCCCTTGGCTAGACGAGAGCGCCAACACAAATGAAATTTTCCTTATTTGCTGCTACCCCTCGGCCGATCGATTAAGAATGTTTACCTCAGTCTGGTCCCCTCGACTAGGACCTTCAACGAATAACTTTACTTTGTACTTAACAGAATAAACACATGTAAATAGCCCATTGACGGCCCATTATTGTAATCGGACCTCCCAGCCCAAGTCTGGAAGCCCAATCCACTTTTCTTCTATAAATACTCCCTTTGGGAGCCATGTAAAGGGTTCAGATTCTCATTATATACAAATCACTTCTCTCTCTAGCTTTTCCTTCTCCCTAAAAAATAATCTATCATTTGGTGCTTTCATTGAGAGATAGAACAAATCAAGTGAAATCCTCCCAACCTATTACATGGTTTACACCTATGGTGGATTAAGGAGCATCATCGCACCTCATCCAAGCATCTCGACCCAATTGAGGAACAAGATGACCCCTCATCCAATCACTTGAGTAGATCAAGGAGTGTCATCGCATCTCGTCCGAGCACCTCGGCCAAATTGAGGAACAAGATTACCCCTTGTTGAGGTTTATTCCCGAAGATCCGAAAGCCCAACACAAGCTCTGGATATTGTGGGGATGTTAACTTGGTTTGGAAAGTGTATAAAATATAAAACAGTGAGATATTGTTCAACTCATGAGCCCACTTGTATTCAGTAATTCTGCGATTACACTGAAATTACCCGAACGGTAGGTAAGTACAAGAATACAAGAATAAGAGAAGTGTTTCTAGTTGCTAAGCTTTGAGTATTAAAATGCTAACCCTTTACAATGATCTAAACACAGGTATTTATACTAAAATGGGGATGGGTAAGCTGGACACGTGGCCAAATCTGGTAGGTCGTGACCTTTGCCATGTAAGCACCCATCCCCCCACTTGCAGCCTCCATGTTCCAGCATTAAATGCGGCCTCCACTTGCTAATTACCCGTTCGGGTATGGCGTTTGGTGAGTGGGACCCTGCCACAGGTATTTCCCCTTCATAAGAAGTATCCCGAACGCCGATCGGGTCCTAGCCATAAGTGTTTTGGTGTAACTGTTTCCTGAAATGCTCCAAGTACGAGATTTATCCCGAACGCTGATCAGGAACTCTGGACTGCTTTGGGCCTGAGTCTTCTCCTGGCTCCCTTGTATTTTGGGCCGGGGGTATTGGGCCTGGACCCAATATCCCAACACCCCTCATCCTAACGCTTCAAATATTTTGATAGTATCATCACACCTCGGCTAGGGGACCACCTCGGCCCAATTGGGGGTAAAATGGCCGACCTTCTAAGCATTTTTGGATGAGTCGAGCGCCATCACCCCTCAACCCGAGCACCTTAACCCATTAAAAAACAGTAGTCCGAACACCTCGGCCTAGTTGGAGGCAACATGGCCTCTCGACCAAGCGTCACCTCGGCATCAAAGGATTACACCTCGATCATGATTACACTAGGTTTCCTTTGATCCATCGGAGTATATGACATCGAGAGGGCCAATCTGGAATTCAGACAACCCGCTAGCACACGTTGATTAAAATAAGTGAAATTACAAAACGAGAGGGAGACTAGGCCAAAACCTCCCAGAGAAGACATACCTTCTCATAATACAACCATACAGAAACTAGATAGATTGTGGGAAACGACCCAACGTACAAGAGCTAAATATAAAATCTAATAGATGGAATGCCAAATAAATTCATGTAATAAGCCCGTTTAGCATGTAATAATAGTTTGGAATCACTATAATTCAGTTCGATATATACTTTTAAATATCTACGTGAAACTATGTTTTTCGATTAGGTACCATACTTGTCTAGTTTGACATAATGCCGTTTTGGTAATTCCCCCACACCTATTCACGTGCCACACTAGCTACTTTTTGACTAATCCATCTTCTAGCAACATGACACTAAGGGTCCGTTTGGTTGGGGGTGATCTCACATGAAGGCCGGAATGTGATGCACGGAATGTTAGATACCCTTGTTTGGTTCACGTGTTTGAAAAAAAATCGGGAAAGTTACATTCCCGTTAATGTAATATGGATGGGAATCTTAAACCCGTCTATGCCTTAGGTTATCTCACATTCCCGGGGTGATATGATTTTCTTCCGAAAATAACCTCAATTAATGATATCTTTTCATTTAATTTCTTTATATATTCAATTGTTATCAAATTTGATTTATTGTGACTTTATAAAAAATTTAATGCAGTCTCTAAATATGTAAATTTTATTTACTAAAAGTAATCTTATTATTGATAAAGATCAGTTAGTTTAATTTCATGGTCTGTCGAACATCGTAAATTGTGTACTACCTTTTAGGTGGGACGGACGGAGTATTGATTATATTTGAATGTCTATTCTCGTTATTTGCATAATTTTTTTCCTTATCATTTTAATTTTTTAAGGTATTTATGTTATAAGAGTTATAGATTATTTAAGTTTTTATTAGTGGATTTCAAAATTTAATAGCAAAGTTGGTCATTTTTTCTTCATTTTGAAAACAACTTTTACGATTAACTTGATCATTTTTAAATATTAATTTTTTTTAGATGATAATAAATATATTTATATTACTATTTGAACAAAGTTTTTTTTTTCATTTCTGTATTGGATCTACAACTATTTACAATTAAACATATTTTACTTAAAAATTATTCAATTAGGTTTGATTTTATTTAATATTAAGATATTCATTTTTTCTTTAATTTTAATCACTTTAGATGTATATTGTAATAGATTTATTCCGTTAAGAGAAGATATTTAAAGGGC